ATACCTACTCTGTAGATTTACGTAAACTGCAACAGAATAAACAATGACCCGAGTTATAAGAAACTATTAAGTTATAAGTGAAGTCTTAGCAAATGGAACAAGACTTAGTGTAAACGAATCTTTAAGTGTGGATTTTTCAATAAAAAACTCAAACATCACAAACTGTTACGGATAAGGATTTTTTCCGAATGTTATCTTAAGGTAAATATTCTCTACTTGTGCATCGAGTCTTATGTAATTACTAGATGTTAACCCGCGGTACACCGCGGGCATATATATTATTTGAAATTTTTTGTTGAATTATTAATTTCAATATTTTAGTTGACATATATGTATTTTTTATTAATTTAAATGTATATATTGATGTAGAAGTTGTATATATCTATAAATGGTAGAATTAGTGAATTTCAATATCATTTTAGTAAAAAAAGAGTTATAAACAATTTTAAATATATCACTCACTTGTACTCAATATATTTTCATATTAATAATTTTATAAAATTACACACATAATATATTATATTTGATTTCATTTGAATATATTGAGTTTTGGCCTAATAAAATTTATAGTATTTATGAATTTATATTTAGTGCAAAGGAAATATAAGTGTTAAATGGTGTATTGTTAGAAGATAAAGTGTTTTGTATTTATTTGATGACATTAGTACTAATTGGTAAGATTATAAGTTTAAATAATTCTAATTGGTAAGATTATAAGCTTAAGAGTAATGAAAAACGAATTGATTTGCTCATTAATTTTTGGATTGAATCTTACCACAAAAACAAAAAATATGATTGAAGAAAAATATCCAAAAGTGGAGCAGAGAAAAATAAAGCATAAAACCATCAACATAAGCATTAAGCAGGTCTTTTGATAAAGACTAATTTTGACTATTAGAATCTCTACGTCATTCAACCTCATTGATCAACAAAAAATCATCAGCAGAAGATTTGGCCTCCTCCTTGTCCAATTTAACTTTGAGATCCAACACAATCATCTCAAGGTTCTTGAAGCATTCCTCGAGTTGTTGGACCCGAGACATCAAGCATCGTCTGATTTCTTCCTCTCCAAGGACACCTCCTCAAGATTTGTCTTCAAACAATCCAGCTTGAAGTCCAATCTCATCAGCTCAATATTCTTAACACGTTCATCGAGTTGTAGGACATCAACATCTAATTTCTTCCTCTTTAAGGAAACCTCATCAAGCTTTAACTTCAACCATTTCAGCTTGAAGCCTTGTTCAATCACCTCGCCGTGAGCATTGCTTAGCTCAGTCTCTGAGTGATCATGTGAAGGCTTGTTACGTGTGCTCTGTGAATATCTTTCTCGCTGAAGTAACTTGCCAAGGAAAAATATGTTTAGGTTACTCAAGAAAGGAATCTGAATAAGCAACCACAAAAGGCACAAAACCAAAAGATCAGATCTTTCATCTGTTTCTTTTTTTTCAGAGAAAAATCTCTCAAAAAAAATGCATCAGTAGGATGTAACACACGCCAAAGAACAAAGCATCCATAAAGCAAATATACCTTCTTTGGTGGTAGATAAGCCTCAAGATAAATTCCATCAATTATTGGAACTTGGCTAAGCATTCATCAAACAGAATTTGGATGATCATAGTCAAGCTTGTTTGTTGATCTAGCAACAACAAAATATAGAGAAGGAATAAGTTCTGTTCACAAAGCGTTTAACATAAAAGAACCATTGTAAGAAGCAGAGTACACGAACCTTGGAGACTTGTAGATACCAGAACGGAATTCATCACGACCAAGAGCAACCTGCATCACTTTGTTCGAACCTAGGAAGAACCTAGATAAATAAGAACCGAATCATGTTTCTCTTCACACGGTACTTGTGGTATGTGTTACCAGCATTTAGCATCGGCTTCTCAGTTCTTCCACCACCTGCAACTTGACCAATCATGGCCATGCATCCACTTGGCACAATCTTTTTCGAACCCGATGGCAACTTCATCCTATCAAAAACATGTGTAAATTCATAACTGTGAGAACAATTCCCTCATCAAAAGAAAGAACAATAGATATTAATAGTTGTTCACTACAATCTAATCCAATCATACTTAATCAGAAAACTGAAACGTAAAGTATACTAAACACAAATCATCATCCAATTCAGCAAAGCTAGATATGAATTCAATGACCAGCGGGAAAATATTGAAACTTGTTGTTAAGAACTAAAGATTTGAACTAATCAAATCTAACGCAATCATTCAAATGGTCCATGAGATATACATATTAAATCAATTGAATATCACCAAGAAAAGTAAGTGTCGTTATTAGGATTATGAGCAATAACAATGGCTTTCTTCCCATAGTAAACAAAATGACCGGTGTACACACCTTCAGCAGCAAGGAAGAGCTTATGCTTCTTGAATCGGAAATGATGACGGAAAGCTACACGATACAACGGAGCACCACATCATGTGTCGTGAATGATCTCCGTCACAACACCTTTGAGATAACCATTTTTTTAATGATTTGGAAATGAGAATGACTTTGATATTTATAGCGTATAAGGATGCTAGGATTATTAGTTTTCAGAATTTTGAAAATCTTGGAAAAAAAGCATAAAATAAAAGATATTATGAACAATATATATTCGTATTTGGTATAAAATTGAATGATTGGCTATATTTGGATAAATACTGAATATTGTAGAGTTAGTTATAATTAGGATTAGATCTAAGTGAATATATTAAGAAGATTTTCGAGTAAATTAAGGAATATACGATGGAATATGCAATTAATAGAAGATTTTAGAGCCGGATTAATGTGGCATATTCTTTAAATATGGTACAAAGTATAATTGTAAATGGAAGAAGATGTAAGGAATATGTCATTTGTTAGATGGATTGTCGTAATTAGTTTCCATTTTTCCTTAAATTTGGGATTGTAGCAATTAGGTATCATAAGTAGAGAAGAAATAATTGTTGAGATTTTTGAAAAGATTGCGTCATATTTTAGGCAAATATATGAGGACCAAAATTCATTTCCATATCTTTACTTAAATAAAACAAATCTAAAAATTAATGTCATAATTTGCGATTTTAGGAAATAAGATTAAACCGAAATATTAGAGTAATTGTAGTCATAATTGGCGATTTTTTTTATTACAACATTCCTAAAATCTCTTATTCTAGATCCGAATAAGGTAAAACCGGATAGATAATGTTTGGTTAGTATCTTTTTAATATTTTCAAATCTTTAGAATTAAACTCATTGACATTATATTGTTGAATTTATTTTTTAAAAATGACGTAATATTAAATAAAAAAATAAATAACTAACTATTTTCATTTGATGGTGTAGACAAATTATTATTACTATTTATGTAATTTAATTACAAATAACAAATATTAATTTTTATAACAAAACAAATTATTTTCGTAATAACAATTTTTCCCCAAATCAATCTTTTACAAAATATTTATTTAATCACATATTCTTTCTATGTAGAAATAAATAGTTAAATAATTATGGTTAGAAGTAGTTAAGGTAAATAACAAATATGGTTAGTTTAGATATATTATATATATTTCTAATTTAGGTGTTAATTAAGAATTAATGTCGTTTTTATTACAAACATCCTTAAATTTCTTATTCTAGATCCGAATAGAGTTAAACCCGGGTAAAACCCGGATCCAAAAGACTTTTTGCAAAAATCCCCTGTAAAAATGTATATGTAGATATATACTCTTTGCTTATCAATAATAAACGGAAACACATATCCAATTGAAGTTATAATTGAAGATTTTATCGTATTGAAGTCTTAAACACATATCCAATACTGTAAACTATTAAAGCTATATAATAAACTATTTGTAGCTAGTTGGGAGACTCAACA